TCTATTAGCTGTCCAAATACGTGATACAATGTAGTCCTTCCCCGTTACTGAACTAAAATAAACATGGAATAGGCCTATCAGATGCTTCATAAAAACGGGTCCCCATGTCTATCTGGAACGCTTCCAACGGACGCGTTGTGGCTTTTTATACACGCAACAAATTCGCATCGCGAAGTGTACTTGGTTTTAATTTAGCCATTTTGGCACGTCCCAACGGAACTGCGGATCATTTGTATTAGAATTCAGATAATATGATTCCAGAACGACGAGTAAATTACGCGAACATCTCGGGACAGCGGTGATTCAGCGAAAATGTTTACAACTTGATGTTTCGGAGTTTACGTATCCTATTGGCTTAATTTCGCTTTGTTTTTTCTTCGTTTCGTTGAAGATCGGCGATTTTTATGCAAATCTGTTTTTATGTCCGGCGATTATTCTCTAGTTAGACAATGATAAGAGGCTTTATTTTTCTTGGGACATGATATTATTATGTACCAATTGGTAAAGTAAGGAAAAAATTCACAAAAATATCAAATGAAAGCATGCTGAAGTAAGACCAACTTTTGACTAAACTGAAGGGAAACATAAACCAACTTGTCAAGTATCTGAAGCTTTACAAATTGTTTAGAATAACTTGCGCGGACATAAAAATAACATCATTTTTACTGCGCTGTGAAAGTAAGTACTGCACACAAACTCTCAAATTACTTCATTGACATGCGATGTTTTATACTTCAGTTCCCCAACATGTTTTATGTTCACGGCTTATAGTTCTTTTTAAGATGAGTTTATAGCGAGAGGTTGTGCATAAAAACTGGATGAGGTAATTTCAAGTTGATTTACTTTTAAATGTATTGCACAAAATAAGCTAAATATATTCTTGCATTATCAGTGGGTTCACCACAATAGTCCAGCGGCAGAGGGTTCGAACCCAGATTCCTCGGAGCTCGAGTTAGTCCGTCCGACACCTTCACCGTTCAGCTATTGACGTTTCAAAGTTATATTCATACTTTTAGGCTGAGTTGCACCATCTTACTTTAACTATGACAAACATCAAAAATCTGTCGAATTCCGTAGAAAAAGCACCGGTTATTGTCATTGTTACGGTTAAAATAAGGTGGTGCAACTCAGTGTTAAATTAGTGCTACATATTTTCATAATCCAATTATTGATTTTTATCGACATTTTTAATCGTTGAAGATCAAATCCAAATCAATCAATTTACATGTTTTATTATGCCTGCCGAAAATTGATTAGAACTCCGACGATTTCGTAAAAAGTGACGTAGGTAACGTGTTTGCCAATTCAAATTAGATTTAAAAGCTGAAAATCTAATTTTACAACTTCAGATTATAACTGAAAACTAATTGGATGTTCGGGGTTAAAGTAATGTGTGTTTAGAGAAGTTATTTCTAGATTTTATTGGATAATGGTTTCAACTACCCAATTAATGGTTGATTAGGGTATATCTAAAATAGATAGTTAATCTAGTTTAGGTAATATCCAATTAGCTGAAAACCATTGTACTACAATGTACGGACGATGGCACAACTATGTAGTTTGAACATTGTGATACCTACATTATTATAGTTCAACGCATTAGAACTAATTCTAGAACCTACAGATCATCATCATCATCACTTTAGACGTCCACTGTTGAACATTAAGGCTGGGTTGCACCATCTTACTTTAGCTTTGACAAACGTCAAAATTCTGTCAAACTCCATACAAAAAGCACCGATTATCGTTAAAGTTACCGTTAAAGCTAGGTGGTGCAACTCAGCCTTAGTCTCCCCCAATGAATTCCAGATTGACCGGTTGGCAGTAGCTTCAACCTACAGTTAATGACTCTTATTCTGAATCTTTTTCAGTATCGAATTCAAAATAGGTGACTTGTGTTATAGCTGTTATTACTCTGTCATAGGTACGATTCTCAAATATTTAAAATAACTGTATGATGAAAAGCTACGTAAAAAGTAATTGCATACTTGCATTCGCACTAAGCGTACATAATACTTCGCGAAACGGCTTTCCACTAGCACGTAACTTATTTATAATAAATTGAAAACTTTATGACTTTCACCTGGTGAACCAAACTCATTTTGTTCACGAAATTCCCTGAAAGAAATTATTTTCCTCCTCTAGCTGAGGTAATTTTCATACTTCGTACCCACTTAATATTACCTTAAGGACTTTTACTTTAAGTCCGCTGATGTGGATGTTTTGTCGTACTTTAATGGCATTATTATATTTCAAGCTGTATGAAGTTTGTTACAAAGCTATCAGGAAAGAAGGAACGATGGTGGAAGATACTTTCCTTATATTACCAGCATTAAGGAGAAACAACAAACAAATTTTGTTTGTTTTTTCTCCTGAATAGGCTCGGAAACTACTGAATCGATTTGAAAAAATCTCACTATAAGAATCCTATTATTATTTCTGATGAAGTTCATAGTTCAGCTAATTTGCTATAATAGCTGTCAGGTATTAAAAAAGCTATAGTAAAGATGTTTCATTTTTCCTTGCAAGTTTAGTTTTTGGCCTACATTTTATAATTAAAGTGAAACAAGGTTCATTTATACCTAAATGTGCCTATATTTTCTAATTATATTCCGTGTCGTTTACACCATTTAACAAATTTATCAACAGCGGACAAGGCATCCCCATGGGCTTTGAAGTTTAAGAAATTAAGCCTGGTGATATTATGCACGAGGTAAATTAATTCTAGGTGACGGCCGGTCTCAGAATAAGGCAATCTATTCGACGGAGTTAAGGCATTGGGCGCAGCCAGTGGTTGCCAAACATTTTTATAAATAGCCCACCCAGGTTTCTAAGCAAAAGCCTACAGTAAAAAAGGTTTAATGGCAAAGATTGGATATTACAGAGAGTTTGCGTGTATCGCAGATTTTTAGTACGTATTTGTCACAGACTAGGTATAGAAACTCAGTTTGTATCAAGAAAGTTACTGGCGTGCACGTGATTGATTTTAGATGAAAATTATTTTGCATTTCTCATTTTTCTTCGAAAAAATGGGACGTCGTCGTAACCATAAAAATAGATATTTCATCCATCAACATAAGTCTACTAACGGATAGAGCGTTAGATGATGAAAATTATGGAATAGGTAAGTAAAAAAGATACTATTGGGTCGAAGTGTACTGCGCTAATGCTAGAAAAAATGATATTAAAGGTAACGTTACGTAAGAGCGTACTTTAGTGGGGTACACTAAAAAGTTTGAAAACCTGTGGACTACGTGAATATGTATGTCATACTATGAATGGGAAATCGATTCGAGGCGATTATTCAACAGGGAACTCATTACAGTCGAGATTAGCTAATACGTGATTAATCTAAAATGAATTAACACTGGATTAGGCAGGCGGTTAAATCAAATGCTGTCTAGACCGATCGTTTAGTAGTTATTGCAGAAAGGATTTGGAAATGTGAAAAGTGTTTTGGGTGATATTAATTTTTTTTTATTATGCTTAAGACATTGTTCTATCTATTAATTACTTACATAGGCACTGAGTTAAGCGCTACATATTTTGTCTGGTGTATAAAAGAGTATTTTTAAACTTACCCTGTACTTACATTTAGGGCTCTTTCCCATGGTGACATCCCGTTTTTTGAAGGAACTGTTTTTGTAAGATCCCGTTAAATAGCATAGTTCACTGGAATTCGACTATTTGGCCTACTAAAACCCTTAGACTTGTATTAGTAAATTGAAACAAAGACTTGGTGTATTTTTTAATAACTTTATTTACGTATCCCATTTCAATTTTACAATAATAAAACATAATAAAAGAAACATTAACGTGTCACTGTACAGTATAGATTAAAAAGATGATGTCGTGCAAAGAATTGACATTATCTTAAGTGAAAACACAGCCATAGATTAATGCCTAATCATATAATTCTATTTTTCAACCGACTTCAAAAAAGGAGGAGGTTCTCAATTCGACCCGTATGTTTTTTTTTTTTTTTTTCTATGTTTGTTACGCGATAACTCCGCCAATTATGAACCGATTTGAACAAATCTTTTTTCGGCGTATAGGTAATACCTCAAGGGTGGTCCCATTTAAATTTAATAATAGAAAAAACAACCCCCAAGGGTGGAAAATTGGGGATGAACTTTTTTATACGCAATATCTCCGCCGATTATAAATCAATTTGAACGATTATTTTTTTGTTGAATAGGTATTATCAAAAGGGTGGTTTCATGCGAATTTGAAGAAAATATTTCACCCCCAAGGGTGGAAAAATGGGGATGAACTTTTTTATACGCAATATTTTTAATTTTTAGTTTTTTTTTTTGTGTTCACGCATTTGAAGTCGGTTTTATTTTTTTAAAAAGTTAATTATTATTTTATAATAAACTAATTAACCCTCAGAAGTACTTGAAAATACGTCCTTAATATAACACAATTTCTTTTTTTCTAAAAAAAATGCGCTCGATGTCTCATGATTGCCAGAATTTAAAAGTAAATAGGTACATACAGTAGCCAGCCAGTAAATCAACACATTTCCTAACTCAATTTTTATTTTTTTATCAAAAACATACAGATTAAAATTCATCTAAGAAACAACATTTTGCAGTAAGTCCATGTTCTGGCGACCATAAATTAAAAAAATAACGAGTTTTTACTATAATTAAAATGTTTAGCCACTGATGTATAAAATATTTTTACGTATACAATTAGGACATTTTTGTGCACAAAGTAGAAATTAAGGTTTATACACCTTGGTGATTTATTTACCAAAGCTTAAGTGGTGACTTTACTGATAAAAATGATAACATTTCCTTTAACGCAAGACTAAATCTTTGAAAATTACTTAAATTAACCATTAATTTTACATTTGTAAAGGCTATAGAATATAAATACTTTTCAAAGATTTTCCGTAAAATGCTTTTAAGGGTAAATGTATGATCACTTAAATCAATAAAGTTCAACCTCTGAAAAATTCTTCAGTGACTAAAAGCGGTGTACACAATTTTAAGACTATAATCAACTGATTGTACTTATATTCATATGAAAAAAAAATTTAATGTATAGTAAAATTATTTTTGTTCCTCAACCTGCATTACATTGATGCTACTCTAATATATTTATGTTTATTGCTAACAAATAATTTATTTACTTTATACAATGACTAACGTAAAATGTACAAAAAATAACCGATCCTTAACATCATAAATACGGGTAACACAGCAAAGCGTAGTCAATTTTAAATCACAAACACATTTCATAATTACCAAAAAAGAGACCATTTATTCGTGAAATATTTTTTAATTTGCAAACCTGCTGCCTTTGTTACGGTTTTTTGCGTGTGCAAAACAGTCTGTCACAGTGCCAGCGAGCACCACTCTCCCCTAAATGTGTGACGTTATTTATGAACGTTCCCCTAACGGTCAAGAGCGAAGATTGACCACAATACGGTCAACTTTTTGTGCGCTGACTGACGCAGGGCTAGAAATTCGTTTGAATTTAGAATGCGAAACAGATGAGAGTAGATTTATTGCTCGTATTTTGTTTTTAATTAAAAGTAAACTAACAAAAAAGAAATCGTCACAGAAAATGAAATGCTTACTCAATTTCAAAGTTGGAAGGGTTTTTTTATTTTTTATGGATTGCCGTGGCCAGTGATACTGGCCACAGTTTGAAATTGGAATGTTATACTCGCATTGCTGTGTTTCCTCCGTGGAATTCTATGTATAGGTTGTAGTCTTACATTTTTGTCACGTCATAGTTTTACACATATTTTTTGTGGGTCACATGGATACACTGAATGTGTGAATAATAATTATATCTACACTTATTCTAATATCACCAGAGTTTTTCAAACCGATTCTCATAAGCTCGCGGATTTTGATATTTTTGTTAAAGTCCATGAGATGACCACTAAAGCCAACGAGGTACCGCTTACACTTACACCTGTAACAAAATTTGGGGTTAATAAAACGATATCGGATAACAAAATCGTGTTACAGACGGGGCGGGTGAATTATAATAATTGCTGTTAAAGCCTTTGTTTTTCAATGAGATTTTCTTTGCCTTGGCAATTTCGATGATCAAAGACTATTAATTTCTTGCTAAAGGATTAAACACTTTCAGAAATACGATTGAGTTTAGAAACAACATTATAAATAAAGCATTTTTCCGCGGCTCCGCTCTTTCGTGGTTAACGGTACTTACGTGACAGAAAAACTTTATGTTATCCAAATTATAATATCAAAATGTTAACTATCATTGTAATAGCAAATACATAAAGAAAGAAAAAAAGATGAAGTGTTATTAACAAGAATTAAAACTTAATGCAGAAAATATTTTTTTAAGGAACTGGCACACAGCCGACGATAGCGTGGCGTGAACACATTAAAACGCGTCAGGCTTGCCAAGTATGGAAATGTACCTTTAAGAATCGTCATTAAAGGTCAAGTGACTCGTATTATTGAAAGGGTTGTACAAATAAAATTACTTTTATAAAAGTGCTGTACAATGGTGAGACGCATAAAGATAGGCTTTTAGTTCTTAAAGTGTATTTTTCAGCCTTCCATGTGCATGTACTGTCATTCATGTACTTTCATGTAATTTTAAAATGAGCATGTGATTTAAAAAAAGTAGGTTTTACTCAATACCTGCACTATTTGTTGTATTCAACGCTTCGAGTATCTTACGTATAGAATCAGCTGAATCGTTACTCTTATAAGTACGAGTAACATCGTCATCGTTAACGACATTGGTAACGATAGTGGTACGTGTTTCGAGATCTACATCGTTCGTGTCGTCAGATTTATTACGTGATTCGGTTTCGTTGCTAGCCTGGAATACTGATGGAAAAAATAAAAATAGGTGACATTCAAGATAGCCATGCACGTCAAGAAACAAATTAATCAATGTTATTATATTTTAGGTGGGTGTCGTTTATTTTTACGAATAAGATTACTTCAAATTCATATTTTTTATATAACTAGCTTTTTATTTCCTTTTTAATGATTCTTTTTATCTCACATTTTTTTGTACTTTAATAACATTGTATGAATGAAAAATACATAAAAAACCTCTCATTATACCTATAGATAAAAATTTAAAGAAAAGCAGTTAACTACGTCTGTAAGAATCTGCAATGCCAAATAATTCTGTTAAAATGTAGATAATATTGGAATGACCGAGCATTTAGTGTATATTACACGCGGTGGCAATGAGAGTGATGAGGGTGTAAAACCAAACATTTTACAGGAAATACCTGCACTTTTCGTGAAATTCAACTCTTCGAGTCCCTTATCAGCTGACATACTGATTTTAATAACAATTTTGCTGATATTTGTTTTGTTGTTTACATCGTTGTCGACATCAGATTCGTATACGGATACGTTGCTAGGCTGAAAGACTGATGAAAATTTTAAAATAGACAATATTTTTAAAGATAGTCAATTTAAGCGTATAAACGTATTTTGGGTATTTGAAGTTTAATTACTTATATTTTATTTTAAAGGCTTTATTTTTAAAATTCTCAACATAATTTTATTTTAGGCCAGATTCGACCAAACTTTTATCCGAGTAAACCCCTGGTGTAACTGGCACATAGACAGTTTCAGTACCTATGGGAAATATGTCAAAATGACAAGTTTATTCTGAGATTAATATTAACTCTTGTTTGGTGGAATCCACCCTAAATCAAAGATATGTTTGAGATATTAAATTGAGTTTGTTAGGGTTAATACCTGCACTATTTGTGAAGTTCAAATCTTCGAGACTTTTAAGTGCCGAGTCGTCTGAAATACTGATTTTAATAATAATTTTGTTGATGTCTAGTTCTCCGAAGTCGTCAGATTTATATGATTCGGTAACGTTGCTTTGCTGAAAGGCTGATTGGGTTTTTAATTACAGAGAGAAATTGTGAATAAACTGAACTCGTTTTAGAATGAAAATATTTTTGTTCACAAACTGACATCTAGCTGCATACATTTTAGTTTTGCAAAACTAGCGACAAAACTGTTAACGGAAAATTGAATTAAATGTTACTACCTGCACTGTTTGTGGAGTTTAATGCTTCAAGTCCCTCGAGTATAGAATCAGCTGATATTCTGATCTTAATAACGATATCTTTGATGTGTATTTTAAGATTTATATACGTTGTATTTTCAGATTTATAAGATTCGGATACGTTGCTAGGCTGAAAGTCTGATGCAAAATTTTAAAAATTAAAATATTTTATTCACAAAATAAATATTTGAGTACATTTTTATTAATTTAAATGCTCGTGAATTCCATATGAGCAAATTTTTCTTGTTGCATAAGCTTATGTATAAACGAAACAGTGTTTGAAACAAAAATAAGTGATTAAATAATACCTTTTGTAGAGTTCAACGCTTCGAGGCCCTTAATCAAAGAGTCAGCTGACAAACTAATTTTGATTACGATTTTCTTTATGTCTAAATCACTGAGGTCGTCAGGTTCATTTACAGATAAGTAGCTATGCTGAAATACTGATGTTAAAATTCAAATTAAAGTAAAACAACTAATAGTATTGAGCGCGCGAGCGAAGCCGCGGGCATAAGCTAATGAAGTATTGTTAAATCAAGAGCAAGAAACTTGTTTAATTACGTTTATGTATTGTTCAAGTTTAATTAGGTTCTTAAAGATAAGGGCATTAATCTCTAACTTATTGTGCTCTAACATTTCCAAAAGGTTATTTTGTGATTACCTACTAGAACTTCTGCTCTGAGTGATCTAATGCCCGTTTTCACCATCAATCCCTAAGTCTTAAGTGACCCCTATGGTAACACTTATCAGGGCATTTCGTTTTCATAGGGGTCACTTAAAAAATAGGGATTGACGGTGAAAACGGGCATAAGAATATTAATACTAAGTATTTTTTAGGATTTTTGAGTGATTTAAAAATATCACGAAAGAAAATTTTATCCTAAGAACATGCACCTTAGAACTACATAAACAAAAACGAAAAAAAAATGTCCAAACTGACCTTTATTACTCGTAACGTATTTCGACATTTGCGTCTGCGAGTGCACGGTGATGATCGCGACCACGTCTCGTATCACCGGAGGCGCGACGACCATTTTCGCTTCGCACTTGACGCGTAAAGCACCGCTAGCAGTGGTGGGCACGCGCACTCTGAGCACGCGCCATGATCGCCTCAGCCCCCCCGCTAGGGAGGGACTCAGCTCGGTCTTCTGCCATGGTTCTGGCTGGAAGGGAGAAAAAGAATAAGTAATGACGCCTTTTTGAAATCAAACGAGCGTACTCTGAGCACGCGCCATGACCGCCTCACCCCCGCTACGGAGAGGCTCAGCTCTGTCTTCTGCCACGATTCTGGCTGGAAAGGAGAAGAATAATAAGAAATGACGCCATTTTGAAATCAAAAGAGCGTACTCTGAGCACGCGCCATGAATGCCCCCGCCCCCCCCCCCCCCCACCCCCNCCACCCCCACTTAATGTAACTAATAGACATTTATTGCACCACATAGTTCTACTAAACACAATGTATCAAAACTGGATGAAAAACCCTCTGTGTCTGTCTATTTTGCATTTTTGCGCAACTTTGTCCAACTATGCAAGACTAAAAAGGCCCGCTTTTAGATACCTACGGAAATAATTAAATATTTTCCATGGACGTTGCCAGTCCTTTGTTAACCTCTATGTACCAATTTTAATAACTTTTCAGAGGAGTGGCCGTGTTTGAATGAGCATAAAGACTCTTCATTATTGAGTTTTGCTTCTCTACCTATTTCTGCTCAAAAAATAAAACACAGGGATATTAATTTTACTTGAAAATGACAAAGGACACAAGGACAGCGCTAATCATTGAAACTGTTTTGTTTACACAAAGGATCTGTTATTTACCTAATAACTAGATGCAAGGGAGAGTTTCCATTATTTTGCAGTCAAATTGTTTTAGTTTGACTGATATGAATACTCGTACTTGCACTACTACTACTCGTACTAACAAAATCAACGACTATATTTCTTGACACATAAGAGCGACTTTTGCTATTCAATTAGAACAGTGTGCTGTGATAGTACTTTTGAAACTCATAAAAAATTAAAAGCACCCAATAAAACATTATTCACTTAACTTTCCATCATCTTAGAAACCATTGTTTCCATAATAATGGTTGCGTTAAATGTGCTCGTTCCTTTTATTTTTAGAAGCCTGTAAAATGCCAATTTTCTTTAAGTATTAATTAACTGCAGGAAATTAACAACTTTGCTTATCAGTGATTAAATTTGTATCAGGTAAATGAAAAAAATGCTTTCCATTTTGATGTTCTTATTGTTATGAAATTAAATTAATAAAATTGACTTTGCTCGTATTATTTTACAAACTCCTTTACTAACTTATAATATTAATAACAAATTAATACAATTTATGCTGTATTTTGTATACAAATTCTGTTTAGTTCAGAGCTAGAAAAAAATGTTTTAGTAGTCTAGCAATTTATTGTTGTAAACATTAAAGTTAAAATTATACTATTGGTGACTTTCCATTGTTAGTCTAAAGCATCTGATTACATAGCTTCAAGGACTTTTCCTCTGTCATAAACACCCTATATACTTAGCTGTATGAATGTCACAACATTAACCCCAAAATATCACCCTAAGTGTACAGGATCTTCAAGCAAACTGCAATTACGCGTAAATATTTTAAGGTGTAGGAAGAGGAATAAAGGAGAGGTATTTTGGCGAAATATACCGGGTGTTTTAAAAGGCCATTAGGGAAGATTTAAAGAGAACCTCCACTGCTTAAAGTCGTTTAACAATGAAAGTACTAATGGCAAACAAAGCAAACGTACCCAGCACAAAGGCGGCGGCCAAACTATTCACGTTATATATCAAAATACCGACATTGTTATAACTTTCTTAAAGAACATTAGCTACGACCAAAGTCGGGACGACATATATCACGAAGTTAAATACGAACGTCTAGATTAGAGTAGATATTGATGATTTAATGTCAATTCGTTTGAAATGCACGATTTACGAACGATTTTGGTTTCAACTACTCGCTGATTGTTGCCTAGAGCTGTCAAATGGCAATGATGGTGTCAAATCTGACAAGACGTGACAAGCACACTAACGCAATAGTTAAGTAAATACGTAACGTAATTTATAAGTGTGTAAAACATTTGAATGTCAGACTGAATGCAAAATGTTTTAATCAAATTACAATAAACGTTTATGATATGATACTAGCTTTCCGCCCGCGGCTTCGCCCGCGTGGATTTTTGTCTGTCACAGAAAAACTTTATCGCGCGCGTCCCTGTTTCAAAAAACGGGATAAAAACTATCCTATGTTCTTTCCCGGGACTCAAACTATCTCTATGCCAAATTTCATCAAAATCGGTTGCGAGGTTTAAGCGGGAAAGCGTAACAGACAGACAGACAGACAGACAGAGTTACTTTCGCATTTATAATATTAGTTGGGATGAATGTTCAATATGTAAGTAATTAAGATTAAGCCGAGTATCCAACAGCATTTAAGCCGTCCATTGAAATTGCATAACCCAATATCGTCCGTCCATTCCCGTGTTTATACGAAGACCTTAATTATCCGATAATATGAGTGCTTTAAACTCGCAACATCAATTTAAATGTTCTGTGTAGTTGCCCAGAAAATCTTGCCGTATTTTATTTTTATTTGGTATTTCTGTACATTTTGGTGAATGGCGTCTAGCTGAGGAGCTTTGGATGAGAAAATGGAATGCCATTTAGCTGATTCAATCACACTAATGAATAGTAATCCAGGCAAATTGGAATCCTGTATTCAATTACTAGCATGAGATGGGAGACGCGAGTGCATTGTCGGCACCGCGAGAATTAGGCTGGGGGAATACAAACTGGGTAGGCAAGATTAGCCATTATCCTTAGAGGTATTATGTCCTGAGTTTGTGACGCAATTGTACATGTAGTAGGGGAGAGTCATGATATGGTTTAGAATTAAACGATTTTATCGAAATATAAAAAAGACAACATTTTATTCATTATTTACCTGCTTCAAAAATGAAACGAAACGTGAACGGAGTTGCGAGTAAAATAAAATATTCTAAGCCTAAAAAACATTAAGACTTTTTGCAAAGAAATAAGAATGCTAATAGAATTTTCACGCAAACATTGTCATTATTACGTAACTAGCGGCCGCCCGCGACTTCGTACGCGTGGATCTCGTTTTACCCCTTCATCTATCTTACGCGGTTTAGATTTTTTCATACAAATGTTTTATCACCCCCTGATAGTTATTTTGAAAATATATTTCATGTACAGAATTGACCTCTCTACAGATTTATTATAAGTATAGATATTATGCAATTTATTAAAATTCTAAATAAGGAAACTATCCTGAATGTTCATTACTAGGCGTGCAAAAGCTATAAAAGCGAAGCTCTATAATGCTACGAAAGCCTTTGCGATGGTAGAGACTTTAGTTCGGTAATTATAGAGCTTTTATTATTCTGGACAAAAGGTATTTTCCGAATTACACATATCTAGCTAAAGTTACGTAAGTTACGTCAATTGGCGTGAAATTTATGGTTTTTATGCGTAAAATAATCCTATAAAATTTACTACATAATGGCATTTTCTGATTTTTTTTTATATTGATCAAAATCTGTCTAGGGTTAGAAAAGATAGTAGATTAGAGTCTCAAGTGAAAATAACACTGTAGGAGGACCAACAATAGGCTAATTTTTGAAATTGAAACCATCCCATAGATTTTGTATGGCATGATTTCTAACCTACTAAAAATAATTCTACAGACGATTGAACACTCGGTTTTCAGGGCTAACATGGAGAGTTTCTTATAAATATCTTATGAATTAAGGCGTCACTGATCAATTAACTTGTCTCATACATACCTTTTGTAACACATCATCGATGTACCAATTGATTTCAGCCGCCGGCAGCGAGTAATCCGAAGTGCAATTCAAGAAAATCTGCTCTCCCGGCTTCAGCTCCTTCGGGGCGCCCGTGATTACCGGGTCCAGGTCTGGCATGGCTGCGGGCAAGATTGATGAATACATTACCAATACAAGATCCTATTAGGGTAACAAGTGATATTGCCAATTTGCACATTGTTACTAGTCTAATAATTCTAATTTGTGATTGAATTCTGTAGATGAGTCGCATCAGTAGGGTTTTTTTTAAGGGACGCGCGCTGGTAGCTTGAAGAGCTTTTCCAGCTTCACCGGGCAAAGTGGCTAGTACAGAAGGTACTCTAGCCGTTTGGCGATCGTCGGTGCGCGTGCCGACGAGGCCGAGTGTGGTCTACGAATTTCTGGCATCTGTATGGCATCTCTTTTACGCAAAGCAAGATGCTAGTATGAGGGATGGTGACAGATAGACCCGAAAATACGAAAACAGTGTTTCGGAGAAGCCCCGCAGGTTCGCTGTTCTTTTTGTTTAAAAATCATCGAAAACTAAAGAACTAGAACTAATCTACTAAGAAGTAGAACTCTAATATTACTCTATTAGAACACACTTTACAATGACAGCGGTATCTAGGTATAATCACTCCAGAATATTGTGACCTGTCGCAATGAATAATTTAAACAAATGAAAATGTAGAGTTGGAACTGACAATGACAGGCACATAACATTAATATAGCAGAATTCAATAGAGTGTATGAAACGTATATTTTTTTATTTGACCTAGACTTATTGTGCTTAGCTATATTTATATTTTCTACCATCTACTATGATGTGCCCACGGTCAGACAATGACATTTTGTATCTTATAGTATACTGTAACAGGGGTTAATTTGCAACTAAACTGTTGTGTTTTTGCAACAAACTAACTATGGTATCGCAAAAATAATAATGTATCTTTTTTTAGATTCAATGTGTTATCATCATCATCTCAGCCATAAGACATCCACTGCAGAATATAGGTCTCCCCCAATGCTTTCCATGTTGCCCGGTTGGTACCTTTGTGATGTCTTCGCCAACCCGCCTGCCAATCGTGGCGAGTATGGGAAATTTTCCCCCTAATGGAAAATATTTAATGTGTGATTTTATCTATCTCATAGGTACCGTTTATATTTACTTGTCTTTAAGTACGATTACAGGACTATATTTTTCAATACTTTATTCACTCAAATCTTTCCTCCCTAAATCGTTTTATTTAGGGAGGAAAGATTTGACCATTATCCAACTTCACCGCGATTTATGTTTACTTTATTAACGTTTACGTCCCCACGATATAACAATTGTTCAGTCGAACAAAGTTTTAATTGCATTTAGACGTATTCACGGAGTACGATACCGAAGCACTTTAGTCACTTAATACCACTGGGACTTATCTTTATCAGTCCGCTGTTATAATTCAACTAGCAAGTCAGTGATAAACTTAGATTAGGACGGCGTACCGTGCCGAAGTTGATAATCGATTTGTCACTGGCTTAGATGGGGTCTAAGTACTGTTTAAGTAAGGGAACAGGCAAAAATTAACTCAAATTATGGTCTGAAGTTCGTACACGCCTAGTTCTCGTTAGGAACGTATTTTTCGATTTGTTACTGGTTTGGCTGGGGCCTAAGTAAGTGTATTAGTACTTACCCAATATTATACTAAGTATAGTACTAATATAAGTATGGGAAAGGGGAAAAATTAACTGAAATTACTAATCCGAACTTCGTTTTCTCTTTCGGGTTTAAATGAAAGTTTTTAATATTTTCGTCATTCAACCTTCAATATGACACATTTCATGATCGTAGCATAAGACGAAAAACATAAATGTTAAGCAACGCAACATTGGACTCTCATTGTCTTCACGTAGAATAGTCACTAGGCGTACTTACTTTTAGTAATATATGTATTAGGCCTATTGTAAGTTTATATAATCGACCTGTCATTTAGAGCACTTTATTCAGTCTGAAATAAGTTTTGCGTACATAGGACAAGAATGCAAAATAGTCACGTGCGTCTTTGAAAAGGTGAACTTTGTAGAATAATCGCACGTCGCGCACTAAAAAAGTGACAGCCGAAAAAAGTTACCTTGGATCTTTATTAACACGTTGAGCGGACGGCCTACGGAAAATATTATTTTGTATGTAGTCCTTTAGATTGTAATAAAGTAAGTTGATCTTATGTTTTGTAGAAAAAAGATAAGGCTCTTTAATTAACTAAGTACCCTTTTACTTACATTATTAGGTAACTATTTGTGTGATGACCATCAACTTCTATAAAACATTAGTTTTACCGAGTGTCCAAGTAGTCATCACAAGTACAAGACAAATAATCTGATAATCGTAGGACTTTATAAGATGTACAACGTTGCCTTTAACAATATTTGACATAAAAATGCGATGTGTTTTGGTATCCAGTGCCAGCTTGCATTTTCGAGCTGTCCTCCATACGAGTGGCGAGTGTTTGCTATGTTACATCATGTGGCATGTCACGTACGTTCACTTTTTGTATTATCTGCACACCTGCGATAAAACGCTGCGTGTACATTCTATGTCATATTCCAGCTACGTCCAAATCGGTGACATCCTACTAATGTATACATGTGAAAGTTTGTGAGGATGTATGGATTTAGCTTTTTCACGCTAAAAGTACAGAACGGATTTGGATTAATTTTGAAAGTATTATTCAAGGTACGAGTATACCAACGACCTCATAAAGGCGTTAGATGCAGGCTGCTATCAACCAGTCATTGTGGAAATCATTCCTATGCTCAGTAATGGACGTCTTATGGATAAAAATTACGATCATGATGATAGTATTATTGTTTATACGTCAAAATAACATATTACCTATAATTTACAACGAAATTGAGTTTATTGGCCAAATTACATGTCAGTATTTCTGAGGCAAAACTGAATTTCACTCAGGCGAAGCCGTGAGAAAAAGCTAGTATTTCTATCATATTACAGCTACGTCCAAACGTTCGGTGACATTTCGAAATAACTCTGGAAATAAGCGCTCCATTCCAATTTCTGTACAGAATTACCACCGTCAAAGTTCCAGCACTAATCCAAATTAAAAGCATTTGACGTCAAAAGGCTGCCGAGGAACGACGGTTATATAGGTTGTTTTATTTTCGTTTCGACTCGCTAACAAAAGAGCATGCTTATTTATTTTCTTGTATCGCGCTTGTATGTACAATATACTTGTTCGTACATTTATGAATAAAACATAAGTAAAATAATAAAGGGGGTGCTCCTTAAATTTAAGCGGTTGGGAACCGAATTGCTTTATATTGTTGGACGGCTGCAGGCGTGAAGCAAGAACCGAATATTCAGGAGATCGTCGGAGTGCCTACAGGTAATTCATATTTGAATGTGAAGTGAAGAATATTTTGCTTTTAATTTTAGAACAGAGATCATCTAAGAATTTGGCTTTGGAACGGCTTTTTATTTTGTACGAATCTATATATATAAAAGAAAGTCGTGTTAGTTACTCCACTTATAACTCAAGAACGGCTGAACCGATTTAGCTGAAAATTGTCAGGGAGGTAGTTTAGAGCCAGGAGAAGGACATAGGATACTTTTTATCCCGTTCGAAATTAAAAAAAAGTCTGCTTATTTATTGCCATTAAGGCGGAACAAAGTTCGCCGGGTCAGCTAGTGGTAAATAAAAATAAAACTTTTGACTTGTACTGAGAGAATCATTCCTAATCTATTTTATAATGCTTCTTCTTAAATACTCTTCTAGAGTGTTTTACAAAGGACCTTATCAACAACAAGTTCTTTTTTTACAAGTTTAAATTAAAAATTCGTTAATTACAGTCACAGGTCACAGGAGTTAATTACAATCGCCAGTATTCTAACTCTACAGCTGTTTCATAGTAGCCCCTTTTAAAACTATGGCTATTATTTTTATGTTAGATGATAAGATGTTGTGTAGTATCCCAAAAGGGCAGCTTTTGGGTTGACATGCTGAGTTGGATTCGAAGATTCAATCTTCTCGAAATTACGCAAAAGTAACAAGGGGCAGCAAGGTTCTGGAGTGGGGGCCACGTACCAAAAAGCGCAGCGTGCGTTGTCCACCCACAAGGAGGACCTCACAAAGGCACCAGAAAGGCGTTGGATGCAGGGCCGGTGAATATGGAAATCATTGGGGGAAGGCTTGTGTTCAGCAATGGACGACCTATGGCTGAAATGATGGCGATGATTTAGAAACTACAACTCACCAAGAACAGTCATTTGCTTCGTCTTCCTAGCGATCTGGAACTTGGGACCTTCTGTAGACACTTCACACGTGTACGTCGCTGTGATGCCAAGAGGTACAGGCATGACCTTCATCATGCAGGAGTCCTCTTGGCACTCCCCGCCTTGCACCATGATGCCTGTTACGTTGTACAGGCGTATGGGAGGCTGGGGACAAAAACGTTTGAATTAGAACAATAATAACATGATATTATGGTAACAACCTAGTCTACCAGTGATATAATATTGTATTTTTTTTTTATGTTTATACGACTGCATCCTCTTTTTTTTCTTATAGTCTTCGAAAATGCAAAATTGGGTAGGTTCCCGCCTTAGGCAGTTCGATTTTTTCAAGTTATTTATAATTTTCAAATAATCTAATATTTTATGTATTTTTAATCATAATGGTCTCAACTACCCAATTACTAGCAATGAACAACCAAACACACTGGGTAATCAAAGTTTACGGTATTAATTAATCAGAAGTTGCTAAATTGCTAGTTTTTTAATCAACATCGATGACGTTGAGACACCGTACTCGTAGGTGTGGCTGGTAGGCTTGTCTAATTAATTACTAACTTGTCATAAAAGACATTTCCACAGGGCCCTCGGGAAGGTTATGTGGACGAAAAAAAACATTTGTTTATCATTACCATAGACAATAATTTATTTATTAGACAAAGCGACAGTTATAAATAAGTAAATAATCTTTTTCAGACCTGCAGCCGGGCTAGGATGCGCGCCATGATAAACTTTATCGTGGTAGGTACATTATTAATATACAGATTTTGATGTATGTTATCGTCTAAAATTGAGAAACATTTCAATAAGATTTTATCATGGTGCAGGCAGACCCTATGCCCTAGGCGTAAAGAACAAGATATTGTCAATATTTTGTGAATTTGGAGACAGATTGTTGAACTGCCATTTTAGTGATGTCAATATTAATTTAGTTTGCGAAAATATTAAAATCGGCAACTATAAGAAGACAGATAGATATTCCTATAGCGATCTATAACTACATAGTTAAGGTGACAAAGGTTCTAACGTAACGTAAACACTAGTTTAAATTCTAAAGCGAATCTTGTTCGAATTTCCAAGAAGCCAACGAATAGTTCACATTCAATAGAATATGGAGTCAAACGCAATTTCAAGCTCTTGCAGTGACCGAGATTGTGGTGTAAGTTATGGTGGGTAGGTGGAAATACCAGCTGCTTCAAATATTTCAGTCAAATTTATGACTGGTTTGCCCTGCCGAACGGGAAAAATATGTTTGATTAATCTAATGAAACTTGGACTCGACTACGGATGTATTAAATATCCAAATTGCAAGAGTTCAATTGTTTAAAAACTGGGTCGTTTACATTTCCATCTAATTTAAATTAAAAATTTTAGACATCTTTTGTCATCTAATTTAAATTAAAAAAAACCTGTCTGTCGCTATGTATGCTTAGATCCTTAAAACTACGCAACGGATTTTGATGTGTTTTTTTTTAATAAGTAGAGTGATTCAAGACGAAGGTTTACATGTACTACTTAGCACCCGTGCGAAGCCGGGGCGGGTCGCTAGTGATAAATAAAACAATGACTTAAACTTAAAATTCTAGTTTTCTAGTTTAGTGCTAATTTTTCTTAAAATACCTACCACTCAACACCATTTTCCCACATATTTTTATTCAAATAGTTTTATAAGTCATCGCAATGTCCTTGCATTTCCCAACCAAAGTATGAACTCCATCAAAAACGTCTGTTTTGGCAATGGAAATGCGTATTCTTCTGTGATGTTCTCAGAGAAAAGGAACACACTAAAAGTCGGACCACGCTTCGTGTGACCCAAATACCGGCACTTTTGTATCTGTATATTTTTTCTCTTATTTCGAGAGCGACGCAGGGACGATGCTGAACTCAAGTCGCATTTACACTACAATTCCCGTTAAAATCGACTAATGAAATTCCTAGATCTCACAATAACTGGACTGGAATTGTGATGTGCAGTGAGTGAGCAAATGATAGGAATTTAATTTTAAAATTAATTAAAGGGAATTTTATACCGAAAGCAGCATGCAGTCTGGCAAATATGGAAGATGGAGATGTGCCCAAACTTATTACCAATATTATGAAGAATTTTCTTGGTTTTATAAATTAAACCTTAAGGACTCTACACATGGTGTTTTTTCCAATTAATTTTGACCTATCAACTTTATGAGGTATTATTTCAAATGAAACTTATCATATTGTTGAGAAGTGGTTTTCGGGACAGTCCAGAAATTCATTTAGTAGTTGCGCAACTCGGGTATTGCCCTAGAGAGTATTGTCCAAATAACCGATACTGGCAGTTTAAGTGACTTTGGGATTGTTCTAAGATCTTTAGTCCACGAGTATAATAGTTATAACAAAGATATTTAAAACGTGTTGACGTTTGATTTCATAAGGTTATTTTGTAGTAATGACATACCTATTAATAAGGACATTTTTAGCAAAATTGTTTTAATAGTATGATAATAATGATAGAATACGAAAGCTCATAAAATGTCAATGTATCAGCATGCTTAAAACAAGTGTGCTCGAACAAGAAATGAGAATGCTTGCTTATTAAATTAGCAATTGTTTTGACACACATGCTACCAAGTACCAATTGCTCAATAGTGCCATTCTTTCGTGCTAGTAAAGAGCATGGTGTCTACCTAATGGTATGTTTTAAAATAACATGTATTAACCCAGTTTTAAAACAGTTTAATTCACAACAATATTTCGAAACAAACGTCGAATTAAAAGGACATTATTCTGTTTCCCCATTAAAGTAAAACTCAAAACGTATTTATTTATCAACCGTATTTATCGTGAGGACTTCTCGGCAGCGCTTTTAATATCGTTTTTATATGGATTATATCGGTAAAATATTCGTTCGAGAGGTCACAACAAATAGGATTAGCACATTTGAGACTTATTGATACGTTTTTATGTTAAAAATACCTATTGAATTTCCGAATACCAGCGCGGCAGCGCTCATTCAGGTTTTTATTGGTATTCCTACTAAACGAATATTATTTTTTAAGTAGGTCCGTAGGACGTTTATTCAGACTGAAAACTTTTTATAGAAAAAATAAATTCTTATAACATCATGAACTTCGCAAAGTGGTGTTTTAACAAAACCCATTTATTGGTATTCAGAAACACACTATTAAAAAACGATGCTTGCTATACTGATGTAGCCAGCGTTGAATTGGTTCGTGAGTCACCCTGTTCGTCCACGCGCACTGTGAGACCTCATAGTAATGTTTGTGAATACGGGCGTTAATTACACTTAAAATTGTAATAAAAATTAAAATAAATATAATTACCTTTTGGGAGGGGTTGTATCTAAATATCTCGTTCATGTCTCTGTACCACTTCACAGAATGTAACTTCTGGCCATCCATCTGGAAGTGGCAGCTGAGCACAGCTGGCCGGCGAGGGTCGGCGAACAGAGGCACCTGCAGCTTGGTGATCTCGTGCGCCGAGCATATCGCTGGGGACAAGGAGAAGAACTGATTAAATCACTTGTTTATTAACCCTGATGGAGCGTGAGACAAAAGACTGACGATGTTTACAAACATCACTAAGGCTGGATTGCACCATTTTACTTTAACTTAGACAAACGTTAGAAATCTGTCAAACCCCATACAAAAAGTACCAGTTATCGTTATAGTTACGGTCAAAGTTAGGTGGTGCAACTCAGCCCTAGGCTGGATTGCACCATTTTACTTTAACTTTGACAAACGTTAAAATCTGTTAAAGTCCATACAAAAAGCACCGGTTATCGTTATAGTTACAGTCAAAGTTGGGTGGTGCAACTCGGCCTAAGTATTTAGAGTTTAAGACAAAAGACTGGCGACGCCAGAAGTTCGAATTTCAAATGGTTTACAACAAAAGACTAACGATTCTAGTTGACGATGACTATTTCGAATAAAAACTAAATTCGAATTTCAATACCTAAAATTCTGGTACATAATCGAGTTAAAGGTATATTGGCGGAGAATGTGGATTCGTATGCGACTTGGAAATCAAATGTTTCTACATATAATACCTACATAATATATTCCCGTCTGCCTATACGTGCACTTCACTGTGAATAGATGTATTTATTTTTGATAGAGCTACGCAATTTTGAAAATATCTTTGTTCTATTGTTAGGTTAATATTATGAGATTTTTTGCTTCACCAGGTCGCTACTTTGAATAATACATTTGATGTCATGCGAAATGAATCCAAACCGACGTAAAGGTGCAAGAGAACGCTCACAAATAAAAAATTACGGGAACGTTTTTAAAATTTATCAACAAAGTACATTTGAGTGTAAGCCAACATCATAAATTTGTCTCGAGTCTTAATAAATAAAAGTGCATCCAGCGGGTATATTCCTTTAAACATTTAAATTGCCGACAGTTTTCCCGCGATGCATTTTTACGGGCATACGTGACTAAAATCTTATTGTGAGAGGGAAGTATATTATAAAAGAAGATATTACACGTATAATGAACACAATAAATCGTGTAAAAACAAAATACCCAGCTCTGTGTAACTCAAATGTGGGAAATACAAAGCAGTTCAGCAAAATGAATGAACCTACGTGCTAACTTTAAATAACATTCAGACAGTTTTCGGGTTAGTTTAAGTTTACAATTTAAATGTATTGAATAAGTCTGAGCTACAATAAATTAGAGTTTACATTGTAAAGTTTTGGCTTGAGTGCATTAAGCAAGGACCGGTGATGCATGTAGTAGTAAAGGAATCATGCAAGTTTATTTACATTTTACCTATTTTAATCGTTCATTAAAAACCTTAGTAGGTACTAAATATTTCAAAAGATGTTGACTTAAAGAAATAGATAATGGAGGAATTATTAGACAATAGGCGGGCACAAGCCTTCTGTGAGAAGAACCCTTCTTATCCAATATGATGATTTTGTGAAGGATACATTTACAAATACCTACTATATAAACATCGAGTTTATTTTTATGGATAAGGCACCATTTATTTTAGATTTACTCGAAATAAACTATGAAGCTAATGTATCAATTTAGATACGACCTAAATCAGGTTTATGGCCAATTTATTATCAAATTACCGAGTTACAGGCACATAACGAAATTATCTTGAAGCTGAAATGTCTAAAATTACTTTATCCTATTTGACTTAACTTTGTCTATGCTACGGAAAGTTTGAGTCGTGTTTGCTACGTCGTAGCAAAATGGTCGTAGCAAGATCAACGAGTTTCGCCGAAGACATAGTTTGGTGGTTTGGGGATAGCTACAGATTAATTTAGTATCATGTTTTTGCATTATCAATCAATCAAATCAAAATCTTTATTTACTCACACAGACATTGAAAACATACATGAGATAATTATGATTATGATGTTTAATATCAGTGTGAGTCTGATGCCTATGCTAGGTATCGAATACCTGTGTTACAGGACATCAGGCTCCCACCGCCTCGAACCTTACAGCACTTAGACAAGGCTATGAGCTAAGTGTAAGAACAACATCCATGTGGTCAAAGATTTAACAAAAAAAGAAAATAAGTAAAACATAATTTACAGAATAAGAATGTTTTAGGAGCATTATTTATGTATGTTTAAGAAAAATAATGCCGAATTAATTAATTAATCAATTGTGCCGTGTGGGGACGGCCGTAAAGAATACCATTCCCCACCGCCAACAGGAGGCGTGTCGTAAGAGGCGACTAAATCCTGTAGCACGAGATGGGCAGCAGCGTCTAGGTGCGAAACCTTATAAAAAAACTGCGCTCGCCAACCCGCCTGCCAAGCGTGGCGAGTACTGGCAACTCCCCCCCCTGATGAACGGCAGAGCTAAAACCAGGCCCCCAGTCTCCGGCAGCCCCGTTGTTCCTGACTACGGTAGCGGTTGGGGTGACGACGGGGCGGGGGGTGCTAAGAATCCCCGGAGGAGGAATAGCTACCACCACAAACGACAACTGGCCCTCGTAACACACAACATCCGCACCCTGAGGTCCGACGAAAAGATTATAGAGCTGGAAGATGAATTAAGTAGGTTGCGATGGAGTATTATAGGGCTATCGGAAGTCCGACGAGAGGGCGAGGACACGATAACCCTGAAATCCGGCAACCTGCTTTACTACCGGGAGGGCGAACAACTGTCCCAAGGTGGTGTCGGGTTTCTCGTCCACAAGTCCCTCATTAACAACATCATTACCATCGGAAGTGTGTCGAGCAGGGTTGCATACCTGATACTCAGAGTATCCAAAAGGTACTCGTTGAAGGTAATCCAGGTATACGCACCGACCTCTACACACCCAGATGAAGAAGTGGAAGCTATGTATGAGGACATAAGTAGGGCCATACATGCAACTAAAACCCACTTCAATGTCGTTATGGGGGACTTCAACGCTAAACTGGGCATGCGAGGTGATGATGAGCTGAGAGTGGGGCAATATGGATATGGGCGACGGAACCCCAGGGGACAGAGGCTGGCCGAGTTCCTGGAAAAGGAGAATCTCTATGCGATGAACTCCTTCTTTCAGAAGCCGCCTCACAGGAAGTGGACCTGGATGAGTCCCGATGGTTCCACGAGAAATGAGATCGACTTCATTATGACCACAAAGCGACGAATGTTTAGCGATGTCTCCGTGATCAACAGGGTGAAAACCGGTAGTGATCACCGGATAGTCAGAGGCATACTAAACATTAACGTCAAGCTGGAGAGGTCCCGTTTGATGAAGTCTACGCTCCGCCCCTCTAATGCTCATATTCACTGCCCCGAGAGCTTTCAGCTCGAGTTGTCGAATCGCTTTGCATGCCTGGAAAATTGCGAGTCAGTGGACGAGATAAATAACAGGTTCGTAGAAACTGTCCAAGCGGTCGGGTCGAAATTTTTTAGACCACGACGTAAAAATAAACCGCAAAAACTATCCGACCGTACCCTCAAACTCATGGTTGAAAGACGTTCAATGACACTGCAGACCTCCGTTGACGCTAAGGCATATCGGCAGCTCAATAGACAGATATGGAAGTCCTTGCGACATGATGTTCGCAACTTTAATACTAATAGTATTAAAGAGGCGATAGAGCGGAACCAAGGCTCCAAAGTGTTTGCAAGAGACAATTCTATTGGGCAAAGCCAGCTGACGAAGCTGAAGACGGCAGACGGTAGTGTAACGTCAACAAAAGCCGAGGTTCTGGGTGAGATCGAAAGGTTTTATGGACAGTTATATACCTCGGTCACCAAACCTGTTGATAGCTCAGCCACAGATCCAAGAGCTAAGCTAACCCGACACTATACCGAGGATATCCCGGATATCAGCCTATACGAGATTAGGATGGCTCTCAAACAACTTAAGAACAACAAGGCACCGGGTGATGACGGAATAACCTCGGAGCTTCTGAACGCGGGTGGTACACCGATACTGAAGGTCCTTCAGAGGCTCTTTAACTCCGTTTTACTCGAGGGAATAACGCCAGAGGCATGGAACAGAAGCGTGGTGGTGCTTTTCTTCAAGAAAGGAGATAACACCTTACTGAAGAATTACAGACCCATCTCGCTTCTGAGCCATGTTTACAAGCTGTTTTCGAGAGTCATCACGAATCGTCTCGCACGTAGGTTCGATGACTTCCAGCCTCCCGAACAAGCCGGTTTCCGGAAAGGTTATAGTACCATAGACCACATCCATACGCTGCGGCAGGTTATACAGAAGACTGAGGAGTATAACTTGCCACTATGCTTGGCGTTCGTGGACTATGAGAAGGCCTTTGATTCGATTGAGACGTGGGCAGTGCTGCAGTCTCTCCAGCGGTGCCGTATCGACTATCGGTACATCGAGGTACTAAAGTGCTTGTACAAAAACGCCACCATGTCGGTCCGAGTACAGGAGCAAAGCACGAGGGCGATTCCTCTACAGCGAGGCGTAAGACAGGGAGATGTTATATCTCCGAAACTCTTCACCGCGGCATTGGAAGACGCTTTCAAACTCCTGGAATGGAAAGGATACGGCATAAACGTTAACGGCGAGTACATCACTCACCTTCGGTTTGCCGACGATATCGTGGTCATGGCAGAATCGCTGGAGGACCTCGGCACCATGCTCGAAGACCTTAATCGAGTTTCCCAACAGGTAGGCCTTCGGATGAACATGGACAAAACGAAGCTTATGTCGAACGTCCATGTTGCGCCCTACCCGGTGTCGGTTGGGAGCTCGATTCTTGAGATTGTTGACAAGTATGTCTACCTCGGACAAACGATCCAGCTAGGTAGGTCCAATTTCGAGAAGGAGGTCAATCGTCGAATCCAACTCGGCTGGGCAGCGTTCGGGAAACTACGCAACATCTTTTCGTCCAAAATACCCCAGTGCCTGAAGACGAAAGTCTACAACCAATGTGTGTTACCTGTGATGACTTATGGCTCGGAAACGTGGCCCCTCACTATAGGCCTTATACAGAAGCTCAAAGTTGCACAGCGTGCTATGGAGAGGGCTATGCTCGGTGTTTCTTTA